ATTGTGCTCGACTTATGTTTCGACTGCAATACACCAATACTACAAATTATCTTCAAATAACCCTACCTTTATTTCCCCAATATACATTAAATCAATCCGACCCTAGCCCGAACCACATCATTTCGTAGATGACCATGTGTTAATACCCACACTTCATTGGACAGCTTATTACAATTTTACTAACCCCCTTACGCTACCACTCCTTAATACCGCAAAAGATATTGAAAGAAATAAGAACGAATTATTTAGACTAACCACGACATTAACACCCCGACAATTTACATACGTATGATATAAAAAGTTACTAAAAACATTCACTGCACCCCGAGCTAACGACTATTCAATTGAATATTATGATCATAACATCATCAGATCTAATCAAGACCAATTTCTTGACGACGATCAATTTGCAAACCCACAATTAACAGAAAAAATTTTCATCAAAACACCCTACTTCACACTTAGCATACTAGATAAAAAGCATGATCACATTATTTCAGAAGCATTATCATACATTCAAGCATACGAATCATTTCACGAAAAATTTCAAACATTTTCACTAACATTTTATTTCCTCATACCGAAAAACGTGATTTGCACTGATCACACGACATCATGATGAGAACTAAACAAACACACATGTACACTTATTAACGTTTTATCCAGAACCATTTTCATTTACACACACCATCACGACAACCCCACCACAGATTTCAATTTATCAATTCTATATACACCTCACCGTTTTTCCCAAATTTCACATTTTGTATAAAAAATACTAACCTTGAAGGCATCCTCCGGAATTATGACCCGATCACGCAAATGTATATATTCTGTCCCTTCACCAAAACCTTCAACGCAGAAGAATCCCGACCACTCATTGTCCCGCATGTATTCATTCAACCTGTTGAAGTACCAATTTTAGAATTTATACACAACACTAAATACAATCACAAAATTTATAATCTAATTCAGAACCCACTTCACGAATTTGCAGTAGGCACCGAAGAACTAAAACTATAAAAGCACCTCAATTGCTTTGGCCACTGCTCCAAACTAAAAACATCGTACGCATACTAGAAAAATTACTAACCACATCAGATGCTATTCACGATGTTTTACCTCATGGCTTCTTTACCGACGATTAAGGTAAGTATGATTTTAGTATTTTAAAATAAAATTAACCATTCTTTATAAGTAATTTACATTTTCTTTAGTCTTCACACCACGATCACCTACAACAAGAAAAAACAAATAAAAAAACAAACAGTTTTTTCATAATAAACTCTATTAAACCTACAGCGCTAAATGATGCAGTAAAATTCAAAATAAAAGTAATAAATTCATCTAAAAGTTATTTCCCTAAATGTAGTAAAATTAAATACGATGATAATCACTTTATAAATTCGATCCCCACAAAGCAGTAAAATTTAATCTTAAAGTAGTAAATTAATACAGAGAAATGCAGTACTAACCTTTTATATATCTTCGTTCACCCGCACAAGAATACTATCCACAATCGCACAACTCGCCCACGAAGAATTAATTAAAATAATGCATTCAAGTTTTAAGTTTACACTAACAACAACTCAAACAAGCGATAACAAAATTCCAACTTACCTTTAACCCGGTTGGAATGGAATTTTTTAATAACCAAACTAACCAACACAGCTAACTAAACACCATAGACCACAAACTAACAGCATGATTAAGAAAAGATCACCTACGGTACCCAAACCGGATCAAACCAGCTTAAAACTGGCCAATTTATTCTTTTGAAGACTCTTACCAAGTCTAAAAAAGAAATAATAAAACACCAAAAAGTCGCAAGACAAACCCAAACCAAAAACATTTTGATTTTTGAGAAAAGGACACAACTAAAGTAACAAAAGAAAAGCCAGAATTAATATAACATGAAACGTTAGCACAAAACAGGACCCCTTAAAAAACCAGCATGAAATCATACTCCCACTCCTGGCCTAACCCACCAGAGAGGACGTCCTGAGCATGCTCTATAGCCGGCCTAACACACTGTGCTACAACCACGCTTTGTGAACACACTATATTTTTGACAAGAGATACTCAAGGGTGAGTAACTCTTGAAAATAACTGAACTAAAACAAAAAGGCTTTTGCGACAACAATTAACCAAAATCATAACTAAAAAGTTGAATTTACAAAATATTATAAAATATAAATCATAATATGCAGTACATAGATCACACCCAACCACAAAGACGAGCATCCAAAGACTAGACGACCCCATCACACTCAACTTACAGAATGGCTAAACACAACCGACATGCCACCCACAATCACGACTCAAAAAGGATTTAGAGTACGACTTGACTTCGCAGAAAAGGACTTCATTGAATCAGACCAATGACTACCTCGATGTTCAAGTATACGTACAGATCCGAGTTACAAGGCATTCCCTCCAAACTCGAGTTTCACGCCATTCCCAATCCAGATCGAAAAATAGTTCTACACAACCGATCAAGAACAGACGATCATAACAAACCATCTTGAAATCAGACTGATTTCGTTGCCGGTCATAGTCTTTGTCGAACGACAGCTAACAACTTCCTATCGACGATTCCAGCTTACTGGAGCTTTCGTCTCCAAGAACGAAATAAGAAATGATGCTCGCCAAATACCAACGATCATCATCCATCCTTCTTTACAGTTAGAAGATACAAGATTCAAAAACTCTGTAAGCCCCGGATGAGTGGAACCAGATCTAAACTTTATTTTATTATTGGTTATAAATTAGATATTTTATCACTATAAAATACTTAATATCAACCAATCATGATCCATCTAACTAACAACCCACTTATTTGTAAGTGCTGAAATTACTTGTAATTTCAGCACCAGACAGATTTGAATTTAACTTAGAAATTAGTTACCTCTCCAAGAGACCTTCTAGCAATCGCAATAAGCCAGTATACTTTAGATCTTTTGAGCCTAGCAGAGACTAGTTAAATACCCTGAGACTAGTAGATATAAGAGTAAGATTAAGATCGGTATTAGACTAAGAAGTTGCACGAATCTATCCGGCCGAAAATAAGATAGCGTGACGAGCAGATGGTGTACCCTATCCGAAATTACTCTATGAGTTACACCTCGAACTTAACTCACTTGTCGACCGCGGATTTTCAGTCGCAAAACTGCACTTGCTCGACTTTTAAAGCTACCCAGAGAATGGAAGCGCACAATAAGCGATGATTTTGAAATTTTCTTCGCTATAGTAGGAACACTCCAATTTGCTAGATGAACTGATGAGAATAGACAATAGCCTTGGCAGTTAAAGAGTTGTAAATGAACAATTTCCTCGGTTTATTAAGAGTTCTGCTATTTGCAGGGTAAACAGTTGTATGTACACGGAAAAACCTTCGCATTTGATCTCTGGCAGCGTTGGCCTTTGCCATCAAAATATGAAGAAAAATTACTACTGAAAATCTGTCGGCAGGGAAACCTGAAAACCGACCAAAAGTTTCATGCGACTTTTTCAAAAACCTTAATTATAAATCGGATTGAATTCGATGCGCGGGTCGTTGGCTCGACTTATGTCTCAACTTTTATGTCTCGACTTATGTCACAATCTTTAAAATTCAGTTTTGATATCAACAGTTTCAGCTCAGATTTTTAAAGAAATTAAATCAAAACTTTGAGATTCAACTTTAAAAAAGTATAGTTTTTGATTGTTTCTCATTGTTTTCTTTCAAATCAAGCATCATCGCAAGAAATTAACTGAGAAACATTTATTACACTTTTTTATCAATTTGATTAACTTATTTGATAGTCGAGAAGGTCGAGAATGCCGAAACATATGTCAAACACCGTCCAAACATATCCTTTTAGGTCCAGAAAATCGCAAAATAAGGTCCAGCACAGTCAAAACATAGGTCGAGCACAGTCGAAACATAAGTCGAGCTCACCCGAAAAATACCCAATTTTGACCGAGAAAGTCGAAACATACGCCGAACACAGTCAAAACATAGGTCGAGTACAAATGAAACTTAGGTCAAGCACATTTGAAAGATAGGTCGAATAAATTTGAAATATAGTCGAGCACAGTTGAAACATAGGTCGAGAACAGTCGATAAATAGGTTCAGCAGTATTTTTTGAAGTTTTTAGAAAACCGTTTCCACAAATCGACTGTACTAAAAATGTATTAACAAAAAACTCAATGAGAACCCAAAAAAATTTTTGAACAGTTTTTCGGAGCAACCACAGCCGACAATAGCCAGAAAGTTTTTTTTTTCGTTTGTCGAAAAAGTTGAGACAGTCGAAATATACCCATTTTTGGTCAAGAAAGCCGAAACAAATCAAACTGGTGGAAAAAATCGAAACATAAGTGAACTGGGTCAAAAAAGTCCAACACTTTTTTGGTGAGTCGAGACTGTCGAAACATACCAAAAATTGGCCGAAAAAGTCGAAATATACCAAAATGTGGTCGAGAAAATTGACTAATACCGAAATTTGGTCGAGACGGTTGAAACACACCTTTTTTTGGTCGAGAAAGTCGAGACATATATCGAGCACCTCGACCCGGGCAGTCTTGTAATTTTTTGCATTGGCTAACAGAGAAAATATTTCATATGAATAGCCGACTTTTCTCAAAGACAGTTCGTCTTTTGATTGTTCCAATCTTCAGACCTATCATTTCTCTGACGTTTATGAATCTTTCCAAACCATTTATGTTTGATATGTTTTGAATAGAATTTCGTTTCGCGCTATTTTTTGGTTGGCATTTTTGACAGTTTGAAAACTTCGTCCGTCCAGTTTTTACAACCAGGCAACGGAATATAGCTGGTGTTTTCTGTTAGTGTTTTTGTAACTAATAGGAAATCATTTATTTGAAGAAACAGGGAGGGGCAAGGTATTTTAGAGCAAATTCGTTTTCTGAGCTATCCTGGAATCTTCTAAGCAAGGCCAAAACAGGCGGACTTTCCAAAAATTATTAATTTGTAGCGGGGCTCTTTAAAGTAAAAAATTTAATTTTTTATTGCTTCAAAGCCAAATTCACACCTTAAAGAAACTAATTGCTTCTGGTTACCAGATTCGTTGTAATTACTAATGTAAATATTTCCTCCAAAAGAAGGATTCAGTGATAGGTGAAAGCGAGTTTTACTAGTTTCCGTTCCAGGTGCAAGAAAGGAGCGGTATAGTGAAGAAAATTCAGACTTGCTCTCTATTAAAAAATTGCGAAATGAACGGATCAAATCTGCCCATCTCCATTTTGGTTGTCCTATTAACTCCACTTCGAAATCCGTCTCCTCGCAATCAAACTTGTAGAAAAATAAAGCTGTGGTTCTTGATGCCGGGAGTATCTGAAAAGAAACTGATGCTTCACATTTCGACGTTTCATTTGGCTCAGACCATTCATCTGTTTGAGAATCATCTGGAAAAGTGTCCCAATCGACTTCCAGGAGTGAGCATTTTTTCGATATGCTGTTGAAAAAGACGAGGTATTGAACATGGGGAAAAGAAGTGTCGATTGGAAAGAAGACCGAGATAGGATGACTGATAGCGGCCACTTTTTTGCACTCCTCGTTTCCGTTTTTCTTGGCATCCACTGGAAACACTTGAAGATTCAAGTATGCATCTACGAACGCCAGAATGGTGCCCCCTCTGAGAAACTCTGAAACAGAAGACAATCGTGTGATCAAATTTATAAAAGATGCTGAATGAGGACAGAGCGTGGTCACCTTCAGCTGTTTCAATCCTGCTGTTATCCGTACGGATATTATAGCAAAACATCCAGTAATGATTAAGTCAGCTCAGGCGCTAGAATAACCAGTTGGTAACATATACATGTTATAGACTTAGAATAAATTAATTAACATATAGAAGTCTGATGATTAAATAAGTACCTATTTATACGTAATGACATTTGTACTAGTACCTGCAAGGCACTGTCTCTCAAATGATTCGAGGTCAGTATCAGCCAGACTTAAATATAGACAGTTGAATTTAGGTTGTTCTCTTATTCGTTTAATTCTCAAGTAGCACACAGCGTAGCTTTCAACTAACAGTGATTATACCTCACCTAACGGGTGAGGGTATAACATGGCGCAGCCAGCAGTTACAAAGAGCCCATTGGGAATAACACCGTTCTGGCAGAAAGCCTCAGCGGAACCACCGTTAGAGTGGGACAAGTGGAATCCACAACTATTCCTCGGCATTGTCGCGAAAGACGGAGTAAACTTGAAAAGGCTCTTGCAACAGCTCTTGTTGCCCAGCTATACGAAAACCTCAAGAACCGGGGTATGAACTCCCTATCTAGGGGGAAACAGGCAAACAAATACGAGATCGCAATCTGTGCAACCAAGAGAAACGGGTAGCGTGGGAAAATCAGTGTCAACGACTGGACAACCTTGGTCCAACAGTAGACAAAATTCCGTGGGAAGAAGCGGACAACAAATGCAGGAGCTATATCTACTTGTGTTTGGGACTGAGGGTCGAAGAAGATTGACACAATACTCTCCGGATCTCAAAATTCAGGGAATCTTGACCAGAGACTTCTGGGGCAGACTAAGACGACTCTTTGTAAAAGAACAAAATGTGACATTCGATCGCTATGAAGCCTTCACACGCAAACAGGGAAAAACGGAATCCCTAGAAGAATTTCATTGTGGACTCACAGAACTCGTGGTCAAAGGAAACTTCAAGTGTACTGCATGCAAGGATGGAGGACTCGAATCAGAAATTATCAGAGATTTATTTACAGCGAACATGTCAAACGACGAGGTTCAAAAAGATCTACTAGCCGAAACAAAACCGCCCGAACAAGCGTTGGATTACGCGGTGAGACACAAAAAAGGCCTCGAGAATCAGGTCCACATCAGAAAGCAGGGAACTTCCAACAGTCACACCGGATTTACGAATAAAAAATCAGAACCGGTAAACTTCGTCCAAAGGAGGGGTGGCTACAAGTCTCAACCTCGGCGTGGACGCAATAGAAGAGGAACGACGTCAAGGAACAACACCGACAGATCCGCACAGAAAAAAGCTTGCTTCAAATGCGGCAACGCATTTTCAGCGAACCATTTGGCACAGTGTCCGGCGCGAGACAAAATTTGCAATAAATGCACAAAAAGGGTCGTTTTGCTAAACTATACAAATCCAGCAAAGAAAATGCAATACAGGAGAACATTCTACAGCAACAGGATCTTCAGGAAACAGACATGACCGCATACGTCAATTACCTGCAAGCAGGTGATATTATACCGGGATGGGAATTAATCCATCCGGATGATACATCCACCAACGGGATAAAATTCGAACCAAGACGAGCAGAAGTAATCACAAACACCAATTTACAAGGACATCTCATTAGGGTCCGCTCGGAGACGAATAATATCGTTTTTATTGCTGACAGGTTCCCCAACGTCTTTCGTGAACGAAAAAACAGTCAACCTCCTTGCATCCACAGTAAAATTGGCAGTCAAATCCAAAATGGGAGATGACGATGAGGCCAACCGAATGGTCTGCTACAATGGATACAAAATCCCGTCCCTTGGCCGATTCAATAGACTCAAGTTGTTGGACAATTCAAACAGCTTCTTTTATAGTGGTGGATGACAGACGAGCAAACATCCAGGGGCGCAATCTTCTCCGCAAATCGGAATACAACTACACCAGGAGAGAAAAGCAAACTGGTAAGTCAGCACTTCATGTTAACAATATTGACAGCTCAGATACACAAATCGCGGCGTGGGTACACAAGTAGGGCGCTCAAGAAACCACATGGTGCAAACAAAATATCAAACAGAATTCAAGGCTCTACAACAACGAAGGCGACGCAATCCCATCCATATTCAAGAAAAAGTGGAACACGAAATCCGATCATTAATTGACCAAGGCCATATATTTCGCCTAGAAAAATGCAGTGACCAGCAATTCTTAAGCCCTATTGTAATTACTGTTAAGAAACTCCAATCAATTAAATTAGCCATGAATTCGAAACAAATAACTAAATCGATCCACAAAAATAAGTACAAGATGCCGAATATTGATGTCTTGTTGGACAATATAGCGCAATCGGCACAAGAACGTAAACATAAGCGGGAACAACATTTTTTTTCCACGATGGACCTACGCTACGCATATAGTCAGCTACCACTGGACGAAACAAGTGTAATTTCAGCATAATTGGGGGAAATGCAACGGAAACCTACCAGTTCCAAACTGGCTTCTACGGGCTCACGGATATGGCCGCAGAATTCCAGAAGGCCATAGATTTAGCGCTTAACAACGAAAAGGACACGTTCACATTCTTAGACGATATCTTAATTATATCACACGGTACGAAGGAGCAGCACCTAGAAAAATTGACTAGAGTCCTAAATAAATTAGATGCCGAAAACATGGCCATTTTGGTACACAAATGTAAATTTGGTTGCAGAGAAGTAGAGTGGCTGGGATTCGTAATAAACGAATACGGCACAACACCTATGCAGAAGAAAACAGACGCATTAATAAATCTACCGTACCCAAAAACATTCAAACAATTAAAGAGTTTTATGGGATCTATCCACCATCTAAGCAAACTTATACCCAACCTAGCTCAATTATGTGACCCTTTAAGACCCCTACTGTCTACGACAAACAAATTTAATTTTAATTGGAGTGAGGAAAGCGGAAAAGCGTTCAAAAACATCCTAAATGCCGTTAAAAGCATTACAGAAAACAGACACTTCGTAAGTGACAGAGAAACTCGCATTTTTTGTGATGCTAGCCGTGAAGGAATAGGCGCGGCTCTGGAACAAGATACACCAGAAGGTTGGGCAACTATTGCGTATGCATCAAGGTTCTTAAATTCATGCGAACAAAAGTACTCTGTAAACGAACTCGAGCTTTTGGCCGCAGTTTGGGCCGTTGAACATTTCAAGTTTTACCTATACGGTAGACGCTTCACTCTGATAACTGATCATCAAGCATTAGTAAGTGTGCTAAAAAGTAATAGGGGCAACAAAACCTACCAAAGCAGGTTAACTAGATGGATTGACAGACTTATTCCATTTGACTTTGACATACATCATTTGGCGGGTAGCAAAATGGGCCTAATTGACTACGTTTTGCGACACCCGGTCGATAAACCACAATCTCCGGCATACTGGGACAAACAATTTGTTGTAGCATCAGTCGATGACTTCGTCGAATGCGTAGAATTCCAAGATAGCAGCAGCAATCACATATCCTTGAATAATCATCCGATTAATTATCCAGGCACCAAAGAGCTCAATCGGAACGAAAATTTCGCATGTTCAAATTCGGTTCACACACAAACTGCAATCACTGTTCCTAGTCAATTGTTTGAAAGAAGTCGCTCATCATTAAAACGAAATTCAAAACATTCAAAAATGAGCAGACAATTGCAACAAGGCATGGCTTTTACCTCCGTTTCGTCGGATAATACGACAATTCCACAGCGGTATGCAGACACACATAGCGTTTCCCCTACCAATTACGCGTCTTTTAATGAATTTATTTCGAAGTCACCACCGTGAGAACTAACCTTCAGTGAGGTAAAACATCAAGTTATCCCGTCAACTGAAAGTATTACATTCAGAAGAAATGAAAACGAGCGTGTAGATGCAATTTGTCAAACCCTGGAAACAACAGAGAAACAAGACTCGGAGTGCCAGGCACAAGCAGAAGAAGACCGCACAACAAACAGACAGGACACCGAATGCCAGACAGCCGCCAGCATAGAGGAGGAGGACACCCCAATGTTCAGGAAAATTTACGCAAAGTAATGGACATCAATTTCCTAGCAACGGCAACTAGAAGAGACAGGAACCTATCGCCGCTTATGAACATGGTCAAACAACAGAGATGGGACAACATCAAAGATTGTTACGGCCCCTACTTTTACAATGTCAGACACCGCCTTTCTGTCAGAGACAATATCATCCTAAACGACGACAGAGTCGTTATACCAAAGCAACTAATGGATGCACTGCATCTTACACATCCGGGCCAAGGAGAAAAGCTAGAAGCGGCGTAATTACAACGAGATATTGTGGCAACAGCGCAAAATTGCAAAAATTGCCGAGAAAAGGGTAAGAATTTTAGAGTAATCTCGGGTAAAAAACACTACACAACACTGGACGCCGTGGTCGAACCAAATGAAGAAATTCAGTTGGATTTTGCGGGCCTGCTGCCCGACGAAAACAATAAAGAAGTTTCCATATTGGTTTACATTAGTGATCGAACTAATAACAAAGCGGATACAATCATCCGATTTATGCAAAATCATATAGTTAACCAAGGTGTACCACGGGTGATCAGAAGTGACCAGGCACAAGGTTTCAGAGACAAAAAGTTCCTCATATATTGCAAAAGTAATCATTTAAAACTGATTTGTGCACCAGTATCTGACGACCACAGGGCAATGGGTATGGTCGAAAGGCTCATTCGAACCTTAAAATCAAGATTAGCAATAATGAAAATCGATAAATCGAATAAACCATACAAGTTAGCGTCAGACGTGGCCGAATTAATTAACCCCTAACGCAACTACAAAAATTACAACCTTCGAAGCTCAGTATGGCAAAAAAGCTATCGCAACACTAAGTAACCTCAGCACGTCCCCAAAATCGTCTAATCTTTCAAGGAAAAACACTAAGCTATCATGTTTAGATAAGAAAGTACTGTCAAAGCTGAGGCCATCTGGAACAGGGAAATAAATAGCGAAGACGAATTTGACCTAACATAAAAGGGTCAAAATAAAACCACAACGGACTACCAACACGTACCCTAGCCCATCTTCAATCCTGTACCACCCGCGCACACTAACACTCAACAGAACACAACCAAAAACCCTCCACGCATAACGGTCAACCCAGGCAAACAACGGGCCAAGAACCAACAGGATACCATTACAAACACGGATGCAATTACACTTGAGAGCAGCGATGAGGAGTTCGACAGGCTACTAGAAAAGTGTCCAATAGGTGCGCATCTACCTATGTCAAATAAACCATAAAAAATAAAATCACTCAAGGAATCTTTTCTAAAAGAAAAAACCAACAATTTCGAAAAATTAAGAACACGTAAACCCATAAGACTATTAACAAATCAAGAAAAACAAAATCTGCAAAGGGCACCATTACTCTTCCTTAAAGACCGTTTCAAATGTCCAGCCCAGAGAATAGATCCTGAAACAGGACTTCGCCTAGAACAAATCGCTAGAAAGACGGGAACTTTTGCCAGGAAAACCAAAAATCCGGGGAAATTTAGGGCAAAATTCCAAATTATCGAAAACGGCGCGATAATAAATTTTTCCCCGCACACTGCGTAGATAAGGGAGGATGGCAAACAGTCTAGAGTAATTAGGCATGATGGACTCGCGTTCATCCCAGACCCAAGGGTCTATGGAAAGTGTAGGCCAGCGGCAAAAAAGAATTTCGTGGCATATAAACACTTACCAAGGCCCAAAAAGCGTGTTTCAGGTTAAAAAAAACTACGAAACAAACCTCACAAGGAGAAATCACAGTAATAAGCCCAAAAAGACCACCAACAAAAACGACACAGGAAATCATTCTACAAACGTTGAATAGAAGAGCTCTAGGACCCCAAACGTTGTTCAAACCTTTAAAAACCAAAGGAAACATGAACCAAAGGAAAAAACCAAAGGAAAAATGAACGCCCGGGACAAGCGGAACAAAAGCGAAACTACAACACAACGACAACCGAAAACAATACCACGAGGTAAAATGAGCCCCAAGAAGCAATCTAAAGTCGACCTAACAGAGATTCAGTTCGAATGCGACACCTCTATTTCGCTCTTGTCAGATACCGAACTTGACCACAAAACCTCATCACCGGAAAAACAACCCGCCGCCAAATGAATCGACATCAAAGCCAAGCCGGAACAAAAATCACCAGAAACTCGACGTTCAACAAGAACCAGGAAAGGTACTTCAGCAGAAAAAATTGGAAACGCAATTCCTATTGGACAGATCTCGCACAACACGGAGGCATTGATCACAGTAGCAACGATTCAAGAAACAAACAGTGCCGGAACCGCACAAAACGAGACAAACAACAACACACGACCAGTCGACAAACCAACCACCGTGGCCGAGAACACCCCTGTAAATAAATCCCCATCATCACAAGCAACATCAGAAGAAATCTTGTGCACTGAAATCCAAATGGATATCGATACGCCAGACAACACTCGAAAGCCAGAAACTGCTAACGACTTACCGCCCAGAACCACAAGCTCTCGTTACATCCTCGATAAACCCAGAACAACGGAAGATTGCTTTAGCAAAGAATTCGAAGATGCTATGAACTTCCTACAGTCAATCTCCCCAATCCGAGGCAATTCTATGACATTCCAGAGAGAGAAGGAACGAGCCAACCAACAGTCAGGTCAACATCAACCACAGCCCACAACATTTAGAGGAAATCAGTGTACAACAACTGAAAAGAAGGACAGGGTCAGCAATAAACAGGACGCGGAGGAAAACTACTGTTGAAGACAAAAGAAAAAAATTGATAGACTTAATTTATCAAAAAGAGGGGAATGTTATCCGTACGGATATTATAGCAAAACATCCAGTAATGATTAAGTCAGCTCAGGTGCTAGATTAACCAGTTGGTAACATATCCATGCTATAGACTTAGAATAAATTAATTAACATATAAAAGTCTGAATTAAGTACCTATTTATAAGTAATGACATTTGTACTAGTACCTATAAGCACTGTCTCTCAAATGATTCGAGGTCAGTGTCAGCCAGACTTAAGCATAGACAGTTGAATTTAAGTTGTTCTCCTATTCGTTTAATTCTCAACTAGCACACAGCGTAGCTTTCAACTAACATAGATTATACCTATAACACTCAAAATTTCCCTTAAAATGAGTGTTTTTTTAGCAAAATACCCAATTAAAATTGTACTGATCCATCGTCTTTACCGTGACCAAATTTGCACCATACTGTACTTACGCAATGAGTGTGCAGTATGTTTTAGCTGCACTTTGGAGGTTATTTCCAGTTGATGGTTATGCAGACGGAAAGTGAGTATGGTTGTGCCGGAATGAAAGCCGGTTAGTTTGACTGCCAGTCGGTTGTTCATCGTGGCCACTTCTGGCTTGTTGGTTACTATCGCACAGCCTACATTTATGTTCAAGGCATTCGACTGAAAATGAAACATAGAGTTTTTGAAGGCAACTAAACGTCCTGAACATTCCATTCCCAATCCCCGTATCTTCCCAATTTCACGTTCATCTCAAATGCATCAAACAAAATTACTGCGGCCAAACAATTATTATTGAGTTTTCTGCGATTTGCAGAGGGCCTATGAAAAGATATTTAAGCATAAATCTACTTCAATTATTTCCCCACATTCCGCAGTTTGTTCCCCACACACTATCACTGTCACTCGACCTCAAACTGAATGCCTTACCACTATGTATCTATAAATTAAAGACAAGACTGCTCGTATCAGGGCAAAGCCCTGAATGTTCCGACTGCCTTTTAAGGTTTATGGAGCAGCAGTAAAAACATTAAAAAAAAATGAAAAATGGTTAAATGGTTTTATTTCATTTAATTTTTTTTTGTTATTACTGCTGCTCAATAAACCTTAAAAAAATTTCAAATTTTAGAAAAAAAAAATTCACTTTATTTTATTTCATTTAAAAATAAAAATTTCCTTGTAACCAATCAATTATGGCAAATAAGCTTTGTTGAACCAATTTGGAACGATTGATAAGACGGATTAAAACTCCGCTTACGCGTTAATAGCGGGATTTATATCGCGCGTTAATTGTCCAAAACTGGTCAAAATGGCCAAAATAGCGTTCTTTAAACCCTCATAACTTTACGAAAAATGATCACAGGTGAATTATCTTTTCAAATTTAAGCTCAGGACAACAATACCTTTCGAATGATATAAAAAAAATTCCGTCAAAAATGGCTAGTTAAAAAGTCCAAATTTGTCTGAAGAAAAAAAACTCACCCCGAGCACAAATATTTCGTTCAAAATATGTTGTTGTATCAAAAGTCCGAACAATAATTGACGTTGAAATATATTCATTTTGCCCAGGAAAAGCACAATACTGATGCAAATAGTCAACTGCTATTTTTCAAATATCATTAACTTTTTTGGACAGAAAGTTGGTTTTCTGAGTGAGTTTTTATTTTGATCAGCACCTATAATTGGTGAAATTTTTTTCCATTTTTACTTCAAACCAAACTCTAACAGATTTTTTGAGCTAACCAACTTTGAACGAAGTTTATTATATCGTCTCAAAAGTATTGTTAACCGAAGATAAAATTTTAACAAGACTGCTCGCATCAAGGTGATGCCCGGAATGTTCCGACTGCTTTTTAAGTTCTATGGATCATTAATAACATGAAAAAACAAATGTCAAGAAGTGAAATATATATCTTTTTTTTTAATTTGAGATTTTTGCAAAAATCATTCCCCACACGCCATAAAAAATACAGTGATAGTTTTTGCTCCTAGTAAAAAATCAGTTATGGCAAATAAGCTTCCTTTAACCAATTTGGAACAATTTCTAGGACAGATTAAACCTCCGCTTACACGTTAATAGCGCGAAATATATTGAGCGATAATTGTCCCAAATTGGCCCAAAATGGCAATCTTTAAGCCATCATAACTTTAAAAAATTGATCACAGATAAAATATCTTTTCAAATTTAAACTCAGAACAACATTATCTTTTGAATGATATTTACGGTAAAAAGGGCTAGTTAAAATGTAGAAATTTGTCTGAAGAAAAAAACCAACCCGAGCATAAATATTCCGTTACTAAAATCGGAACTGAAATTATTGATCAATTTTTGTGAAATGTGGAGATTTGAAGACTTCCAATTACCCAGGTTTTAATACTAAAGTTTGTCAGAGAATAAAAAATTACGAAAATGGCATTATATGCGTTTTTTCCATATTTTGAAATAAGTATTCTTTCCACACTCTAGAATCAAATAACAACCCTTTTGCTACTTTTTTGTCATGAAAAAAGCTTATGCACATTTTCATACCATGAAATTGAATGAAAAGCATTTTTTCATGCTATGAAGTTGTATCATAAGCATTCCTACAACAAATAAATAACAGAAAGTTTCCGTCTCGAAATCTTGTTTTTCTTCGAAAAAGCAATAACCAAAGAATTTGTAACATCAGAAAACCCAGAATTTAGGTGGCATTGCACACTCATAAACTGCATTCGGTCAATTGCCATTAAACTGGAGGTTTCGATTTTCACGCAGATTTATATTCAAAAATGTAAAATTCAGTTGTTGAGAAAAAAGCAGAATTTTTTCGCCAATTTAGGGATATGTCAGCATGGGAAAAAACAGCATTGTGCTTACACAAAAAACACTTGACTGTAATTTTTGGATTTTTGTGTAACTTTGGACTGCAAAACATCCGTAAAACTTTCCCCTGAAGGTATTTTTTTGAGCACAGAAGCAAGTTTGCTATCAGAAAAGAGAGAATTTTTCTAAACAATTTTGTATTATTCCATTGTAAAAAGCATGTCGTACAATTTTCACATAAATATTAAAAATAATAGTTTATTTAAAAATAAGGTTTTTTTTGAAAAAAAAATTGATGCCAAAGTTGCTTTCATGTAACAAAAACGGACAAAACTTGTCTCTTCTATATTGAAACTAATTTACAACCGTTTTTGTAGAAGCTCGAAGAAAAAAGTTTCAATTTACGGTAAAAAAAGTACAGTTTCATTTTACGAGATTACAGCAAAGAAAGCTGTTTACTTGCATTTCTAAAATTATTCAGAGAAAACAGATCATTCATAAAGCTCGATTGTGTTGGTGCTCTATTTTGATCTGGGTCATTGATTAAAAAATTGAGTTGATTCCATTCGCCCTTTTTTGTTAACCATGAATATGGTCGGAACGCGGTCCTTAGCAACCGGCTATTCATGTTTTTTTTTGTAAAAACAGTAGTTTTTTTAAAACTGAAAATAAAACTTTTCCTATTGCTTCAATATTGCATTTTATTTAACTAACAGGTGCAGATCTAGATATACAAAAAAATTTACTAAATTAGAACAACCTACTAATATTTTGCATCTATAGATCCGGGCCTGTTAGTTAAATAAAATGCATTATTGAAGCAATAGGAAAAGTTTTATTACTACTGTTTTTACAAAAATTAAGAATAGCCGGTTGCTATGGACCACGTTCCGACCATATTCATGGTTAACAAAAAAGGGCGAATGGAGTCTACTCAATTTTTTTAATCAATAACCCAGATCAAAATAGAGCACCAATACAATCGAGCTTTATGAATGATCTGTTTTCTCTGAATAATTTTAGAAACGCAAGTAAACAGCTTTCTTTGCTGTAATCTTGATTTTTGAGCCTAAAAATGAACTGTATCCAACACAAACCCGCGCTATTTAAAACGAAAGAAATTATCATACTATCCTAAAAGTAGACCAAAAATAAAATAAGACAGCTTGTCTCAGGGCAAAGCCCTAAAGGTTCTGACTGCCCGTTAATGCCGGGAAAAGCGTATGATAGTTTTTTGAAAAAACGGCGAAAATTTACAAAAAAAACAAGCGTCATGCAATCTTACATAGTTCAAATAGCTTTGCTCAAGTCAAGATGAGCTTTTGCTTTGACATAACGAAATCCATCGCGCACTAAATCTAAATGTCCCGAATTTAGCACATTTGGGTTGAAAACCATACAAAAAAATGCCTTGGCTGACTGAACATAAATTTTTTCTAAAGGCGTCTTCGGCGCCAATCTATCCTAATTTTGAGGGAAGAGCGCGCGCCGGAAAAACGCGCTTTTTTGGTCGAAAGTTTGAAAAATGTACCTAAAAACGCCTTTTTTGGCCTTTTTTCAAAAATTTGCCTGCGGCTCAGAAAATTTCGTCAAACTAGAGTCTGTATAGTGGTTTGGGAGAGCTCAGAAAATCAATTCGGTCGACCTAAAAAAAGGTCGACAAAACTTGAAGTTTTTTTGAAAATCCACCCCCCCCCCCTCCTCGAGAAATTCCTAGATCCGCGCCTGAAATTAGTTTAATTTTCGAATTCAACCAAAACAGCAAACATAGACCTAAAAACAGGCAAAAAATTGGGCTTGGGGCACTTTTAGAAGGTTTTGACCAGAAAGTGACTATTTTGCGGCACACTCGATAGCACCTTTGCAAAAAGTCTAGGTTTAGCTTAACCAAAAACAGATCTCGTTATTGTCTTTTGAGTGGCCAGGGGAACAAATTTCGAGACTCCCCCGACACTCAAATCCGCTACTCGTTACTATTCTCGTTACTATTGTTATATTAGACCTTGGCATCTGCAAAAAACATTATGACAAAACACCTTCTTCTGAGAATTTTTCGAGCTGACCATCTTACAAAGTTTACAGAGATTACAGCAAAGAAAGCTGTTCACTTGCATTTCTAAAATTTTTCAGAGAAAACAGATCATCAAAATGGAGATTACAGCAAAGAAAGCTGTTTACTTGCATTTCTAAAATTATTCAGTGAAAACAGATTATTCATAAAGCTCGATTGTGTTGGTGCTCTATTTTGATCTGGGTCATTGATTAAAAAAATTGAGTTGATTCCATTCGCCCTTTTTTGTTAACCATGAATATGGTCGGAACGCGGTCCTTAGCAACCGGCTATTCATATTTTTTTTTGTAAAAACAGTAGTTTTTTTAAAACTGAAAATAAAACTTTTCCTATTGCTTCAATATTGCATTTTATTTAACTAACAGGTGCAGATCTAGATATACAAAAAAATTTACTAAATTAGAACAACCTACTAATATTTTGCATCTATAGATCCGGGCCTGTTAGTTAAATAAAATGCATTATTGAAGCAATAGGAAAAGTTTTATTACTACTGTTTTTACAAAAATTAAGAATAGCCGGTTGCTAAGGACCACGTTCCGACCATATTCATGGTTAACAAAAAAGGGCGAATGGAGTCTACTCAATTTTTTTAATCAATAACCCAGATCAAAATAGAGCACCAATACAATCGAGCTTTATGAATGATCTGTTTTCTCTGAATAATTTTAGAAACGCAAGTAAACAGCTTTCTTTGCTGTAATCTTGATTTTTGAGCCTAAAATGAACTGTATGCAACACAAACCCGCGCTATTTAAAACGAAAGAAATTATCATACTATCCTAAAAGTAGACCAAAAATAAAATAAGACAGCTTGTCTCAGGGCAAAGCCCTAAAGGTTCTGACTGCCCGTTAATGCCGGGAAAAGCGTATGATAGTTTTTTGAAAAAACGGCGAAAATTTACAAAAAAAACAAGCGTCATGCAATCTTACATAGTTCAAATAGCTTTGCTCAAGTCAAGATGAGCTTTTGCTTTGACATAACGAAATCCATCGCGCACTAAATCTAAATGTCCCGAATTTAGCACATCCGGGTTGAAAACCATATAAAAAAATGCCTTGGCTGACTGAACATAAATTTTTTCTAAAGGCGTCTTCGGCGCCAATCTATCCTAATTTTGAGGGAAGAGCGCGCGCCGGAAAAACGCGCTTTTTCGGTCGAAAGTTTGAAAAATGTGCCTAAAAACGCCTTTTTTGGCCTTTTTTCAAAAATTTGCCTGCGGCTCAGAAAATTTCGTCAAACTAGAGTCTTTATAGTGGTTTGGGAGAGCTCAGAAAATCAATTCGGTCGACCTAAAAAAAGGTCGACAAAACTTGAAGTTTTTTTGAAAATCCACGACCCCCACCCCCCCCCCCCCTCCTCGAGAAATTCCTAGATCCGCGCCTGAAATTAGTTTAATTTTCGAATTCAACCAAAACAGCAAACATAGACCTAAAAACAGGCAAAAAATTGGGCTTGGGGCACTTTTAGAAGGTTTTGACCAGAAAGTGACTATTTTGCGGCACACTCGATAGCACCTTTGCAAAAAGTCTAGGTTTAGCTCAACCAAAAACAGATCTCGTTATTGTCTTTTGAGTGGCCAGGGGAACAAATTTCGAGACTCCCCCGACACTCAAATCCGCTACTCGTTACTATTCTCGTTACTATTGTTATATTAGACCTTGGCATCTGCAAAAAACATTATGACAAAACACCTTCTTCTGAGAATTTTTGGAGCTGACCATCTTACAAAGTTTTTCCCCGTCTTAGAATTTTTTATAAACTTTCTTGAAAATTTCAAGAAGGTTTCTCGTAAGAAAAGTTCTAAACTAGCAGTTTCTTCCCGAAAATAAAAAAGATTTTGAATTGTAAACTCATATAGCAAAACAAAATTTTTGGCCTATGAGTTTACGTTATTGTACTCTGCGACAGTGGAAAACTTTCAATCTTGTTATAAAAAAAGCTTGAAAATATGAACGAAAAAAATGTATAAACTTTTATAGGAAGGCGTCCTCTCGTACAACCTTCTGATACGAAAAAGTCTCTTTCTTGTAACATTCTTAGAGCCTAATTTTGTTAGAAGTTGTATGATTCTTATAAGAAAAGTTCTAAGATAGCGACCTTTGGTCAACCCGGGTACGCACCTGCAATGGTTCAACCGAATTGAAGTCTTGCCAGGAGATGTGAAGTATCTGTGTTTTGTACTGGAAATAAGGAAGCACAATCGTAATCAAATCTGTTCTATTGTCAATAATTGGAAGCTCCGACATAAAGCAGTGGTTGAACCTGACTAAGTTAGCCAATCCGAATAGTTTGAACCCGCAAATAAAGTTCAGTGTGTGGAAAAAGATGGTTCTCTCATCTCCCGTCTGCTGAAGCTCAATTGAAAAAGGTATTCCACATACACAGCCGATGTCGACATTAGCCAGAGGTATGAGGTTAATCAAAAATAATTGGCCAAGTTCATCTATCGGGGAGCAAACTTTGCACACTTTCGCGGGTAGCTTTATCAAGCAATTCAGCTGTAACACTCTCTTCCAGAAGTATGTTGGTTGGCGTAAGTGCCTCAGATCATCGTGTAGCGTCAGTGATTGCAGCACTTGTTTAGAAACGAACCCAGTTACCAAATTCTTCCACAACAAGTTTTCCTCTTTTATCAACCTCTAAATTTGCAGCAGCATTCACAGTTAACTAGCAATCTGCTCATTTTGTAATGAAACAATAATTTTCATTCTTTTTCAGGGTCGGACGGTTTACCAAAATTTATTACCTCTTTTGAGTAAATTTATCATCTGTTTTCATAGCAAAGTTCTTAGAAGTGGCGTTTAAAAAATCTCCTCTAGCCATTGAACCGCGCAAGATCAGTTTGACTGCGGAATACGGATTAAAGCGAAAAGTACCTTGATCTTTATTCATCAATTCGTTGATATCTTACAATTCCATTGAAAATGCTTATCGTTCAATTCCATAGATCAAATGAATGGGAAAATGCTAGTCATACAATTTTCATACAAATTCAAAAAAAAATATTCAAATTAGATTCGAACTAGTTTCTGTGGCTATTTGAACCAAATAAAACAGTCTGGGATGGAAAAAAAACTTTCTTTATTTCCTTTATTTTGAAAAAAAATGATTATCATACAATTTCCATATATGAAAATTGTATGACTAGCGTTTTTTTGGATGGCGAAAACAAAAAATTATCCAAGTAATATTGAAATTACCCAAAATTTTTTTGCTTTTTTTTCAACCGTAAATCGAGTTTTGTTCTCAAAAAAAAAACATTTTCCAAAAGAGAAATTTTGCATGCAAATTTTGATTTTTTGTCTGCATAACGTAGTCCTGGATACACAAAACTTGAATTTTTTTTCCGTTTCTATGGATAATTTTTTTCAAACAAGTTGAAAACTCCTATTTCTATTAAATGGTATGTTTATATATGCCTTTATCAATGTCTGATGATTTGAAATTTATAATTATAAAAATAATGATCTTTAAATCAATTTTTTGGTTTATGAAAAAATGCTTGTCCCACAGTTTCCATATATGAAAAAATGCTTGTTTTTTTCACAAAATAATTTTTTTTTCTAAACAAAAAATCTTTCAAAAACTGCTAGATTAATTGTATAAAAATAGCAAAAACAATCCGTCTTTTTAAGCAAAAAAATTGTGGTTTGCTTAATCGCTAAGGTTATTTTTGCAAACTGAACTTTCACATTTTATCATAGTTTCAATAAAATTCATTTGTTTTTTTTTTTCAGTTCGTCGTAAGGTTTTCACTGAAATACATCTTCGTAAAGGCTTTACAAAAAGTTTTTGAATTTTACAGTTTACAATTTTAATAGCTAAGGCATCCGGCCGTTAGAAATAGTTAACGTAAAAAATACTTGTACTCATAGAAGCTAAAAGGTTGATTTTTGCCACAAACGAAGAACAAATCTAAAGGCTATACTTGGTAACCTAATATAAAAAAAAAACTAGATACGCTACAATGTTATTTCAATTAGCTAAATTTTTTTAAACTAAACAAATAACCTACGTTATATTATATTATCATCAGTAATTTTGCCTATATAAAATTGTATGACTGGGGAGCAACCCGGGTCTTTGATGTTTAGAGATATACTACAAATAGATCTACTCACATTTAGCTTCCGACAGACAAAAGACATGTTGATTAAATCACTCAGATGCAATTTCCTTACAACTTTAATGATCAGTTCAAAAGGTAGATCTAAAATGTTTTCACTGAGAATGGTTTGAAGCTCCATTTTACAGCTTAAATGGTTCAAGTTGCAGAGTTCATTCAATTTATCTTCGATCAACCCAAGAGAGTAAAACAACAAAGCAGTAGTTTGTTTATTGGAAGTTTCCAAAATCAACTTTCACATTTCCCAAATATAACCATTGTTAAAATGTTCCAGAGTTTATTCCCCTTAACCAATGGATCACAAATTGCAAGCTATGGTGGAACCTGTTATCTGTCGCTACCAGGGAACGCATGAGTTGCTATGCTGAATTATATTCGGAGCTGGGAAACTAGGGCAAACAAATGAAAAGAAGGTTTTAACACAAGAGGGTTTTATTTTCTTCCGCGCATATTAATTTGTTGGCTGTATACTGTCTGACTAAAAGCGATATTCCCTCCCCAGCCCCCCTCCCCCTCAAGAAAATCCTAGATCCGCCCTTGACTGCTATATTTACAATGTTTTATTGACAACGAAAACAACGAAAGTCCATTTTTTTTAAAATTTACTTAGGTTGCGGGTTATTTTTTACATCTGAAATTGAATTCGATTTTCAAATAGTGATGCGCTTCGATTCGTTTTGTATCCAAAATGTACCTCAACGCCAATTTAAATTTAGCCGGAACTTTAATTTGTTGGCTGTACACTGTCTGACTGAAACCAAAGTTCCGACTCAATTTAAACTGGTTTTGAGGTACATTTTGCATGCAAAACGAATCAAAGCACATCAAAATTTGAAAATATAATTCAATTTCAGTTTTAAAAAGTAACCCGCATCCTGAGTAAATTTAAATTTTAAAAAATGGATTTTCGTTGTTTTTGTTGTCAATAAACCATTCTCAATATAGCGGTCAGGGTCGGATCTAAGATTTTCTCGAGGGGGGGAATGGCAGAATTTTAAGCGATCTTTTTTTATTTTTTAGATCAGCCAATTTGTTTTTCTGAGTTCTACCAAATCACTATGAGGATCTTATTTTGAACAATTTTTCTGCGCTGCAAGCAAATTATTGGAAAAACAGGCCAAAAAAGGCGTTTTTAGGCATTTTTTGGAAGATTTTGACCAAAAATTTGCGTTTTTAGGTGCACGTTCTCCCCTCAAAAATAGTGTTTTTTGGCGCCCAAGGCGCTTTTAGAAAAAAATTTAGCCAGTCAGCCGAATATGTATGTCTACAATAGTACAAAAGGAGAGCTTTGGATCGGCAGGGGGTCGAATCCCTGAGAAGGGGACGTATGCTCCGCCCCCCACCAAATCTGCTAGCGATAATTTATGTGTTGATTTGATGCAATAAGTCATGCGTACTTTCAAAAAATTGGAAGTTGTTAGTTCTAGTACCCTAAATGTTCAAACAGACCCTTAATTGGCATTGAAAAAATTTTGGTAGAAAAATGCTTGAAAACGCATAAACTTTATACAAAATATAGTGCAAAAAAGTTTAGTAGCACGAACTTCCCGCACTAGATTTTCATGGGTATAATTAGTTTATAGGTACATCAATCATGGGTAGTGTAATCAAAATTAATAGAAGATTTAAGCAAAAATTTTAACCTTAATATCAAGTTGTATGACACGTTTAACCAAAAGAAAGAACTTTTAGGGGTTTTCGATCAATTTTTTCAGTATTCAGAAATACATTATAATCCATAACAATCGTTGATTAAACAGTTTTGTTTTCAGTGAGTTCTATAAATTTTTGTTTATAAAATCCATGAAAATTCTGATTTTTTTTTGTAGATCACCCAGCATTCGACATCCGGATCTACATTTCCCACAATCCCTTTCCAAACTCAAAACACCCCCCCCCCCAACCACCCCATAACTTCTTTATTCCTTTTTTTTCTGTTCGGAATAGCATGACAAACATTATTCAATAAAGTTTAAAAAAAAACACTTTTTAAAGCTCTAGTTCAGTTTCCATACAAATATTATGTTATGGTGACAATTCGTAACACTCATCAATTTGTAACAGGCGACAATTCGTAACAAGCCATAATTTGTAACAAGGCACTGGCAATCACAATAAGCTTGCTCCGCTGCGCGCACATTCGACACGATAGGAATACTGCACGTGAATCAGTGTTCCGCGCTTATTCTACTGTTACGAATTGTCGCTTGTTACGAATTGTCGTCTGTCACGAGTTGTCACCCGTTACGAAATACCGCCTCACGAACTTTTTTGATAGACTGCTCAAAAATCAGGGCAATGCTTTAAATGTTAAACGCTCGCTGTTTCAAATTTAGTGTTTGATATTGTCCAAAACGGTTAAATATCTAAAAAAAAATTTAAATTTTTCAAAATTAGGACAAAGATGACATTCTTTTCCCTTAAAACGATTTAAATTGATTCAATTTAATAATAAAAAGATCAATTAGCTTGCTTCAATTCATTATGGTTGGATTAGTTTTGTAGTGCGGAATGTTTCCCCACTCAATAACCAATTGCGTTCTGATTTCTGCAGCATCGATGAAATTTTCTTAGCGTGCATAACTCAGTCCAGAGCAAGGCTGAGCTGGAAACTTTATGCACTCAGAACTTTTGAAAAAATTTTGATTGGAAGGTTAACAAACTTCTCACATCTCTTTTGTCGATCGCCTAAGTATTACTGAAACAAACTGCTCGTATCTAAGGACAAAAACCATAAAGTTCCGACGGAACCTTAATTCGCATTGAAAAAATTTTGGTAGAAAAGTGCTTGAAAACACATAAATTTTACACAGAAACAAGTGCAAGAAAACGAGTAGCGCGACTTACGCGCACTAGAAATTCGACCTGTTTTTAGTTTCAATATTCGATTAGTTTCAATATTCAGAAACCCATTATAAAACTTGATAATTGCTGATAATACAGTTTTGCTTTCAATGGTATTTCAAATTTTTTGTTAATAAATGCCATGAAAATTGAGATTTTTCTAGATTTTGAAACGTTTACTCTACTTTTTGCAACTTTTCACAAAATAAAAAACCAAATGCGCACCTTCTTCCCAGTGTAAACTCACTCAGCATTCGACATCCGCATCTACATTTCTCACAACGCCATTCCAAACTCAAAGCGCCCCCCACCACCTTATACCTTCTTACTCCCTTTTTTCATTTTCATTTTCCTCCCTGGTCACCCTCTGTTCGGAGTAGCTTGACAAGCACCCCGCATTCTTCAATAAATTTAAAAAACACACAATTTAAAGCTCTTGTTCAGTTTCTATATAATTATTATGGCAGGATGACAATTGGTAAC